TATGTCACATAAAGTAAACTGTGCTGGGTGCTGTCTCTGTTTTTCAGCTTCTGCCATTGGTTTCAAAAATTTATAACTCACTCATTACTAAAAATTTTTGGATGAAACCAATTGGATTTGATAGTCTTATGGATTAGCTACTGAATAAATCTGAAATCATGTGTTTTTGACGTCGGTGGAATTTTATATGTCATTTTAAGTGAACTGCACCGGTTTACCTTTCAACCGGGTCATTGCTGAGTTTTGAAAAATATTTTAATACCCCATATGATGTCGACGGAAGTTAGTTTTTGGCTATGTCATATTATAAGGAGTTTAATACCTCACGTTAAAATTTGATGAAGTTTCAAGGTTGATAGCTATGAAAACAAATTTATTTTGATAATTACTGTTTGAAAAAAAATGGAACTGCAACATTACTTTTTAAATTTTGCCAAAATTTCACGTCAATAGTCATTGCATGCATGGAACCCATTCTAAAAATATTTTTGAAATTGTATTATTTTAGAATTGGATTATTGTTTAAATAAAAAAAAATCTTTAATTAAATTCTAAAATTTTATCTTTATACCTTCTACTAAAAATATATTGAACTAACTTTACGGCTAAGGTACAATGGTTTGAGTGACGTTTTCGTCTATGCGGGTCGGGGCGTTACACGAACTGAATGCTTGTTGTATTAGCTGGGAAGCTTTCGAGTATCTTGATACATAAACAAACACAAAACCTGTGTTGCTCGGACTCTTCATTTTGGCCGAAGTATCCATGTCGACACGACACAGGTACACGAATGAAATATGCAGCGGACACGGCGCTGTTCAACCGGACATGACAAGGTTTTCCCTTCTTCTTCTTTCTTTTTTTCTCTCCCTGTTCTTCTTTCCCCTTTTTGCTCTCCGGATGAAAGAGTGAGGTCCTGCAGTGTCGTAACCAGAGAAGAGGAAGTCTCGGGCGGCTCAACCCGAGAAGGCGAAGCGGCTGCAGTAGGTAGAGCCTCTAGAGCAGAGAGGAGGGAGAGAATCGAAGAGAGAGAAAGCGAATGGAAAATAATGACTTAAGTTAATGACTGGATTTTTATTGGGCTTCTAGGTTAATAATAGACTTTTATTTCTATGCATATAGACATGTATTTATGACTTTATTTAGTCCATTTATTTTTTATTTATTGAAATAATAATTTAAAAACAATCAAAATATGTTAAAAAAAACTCTTAAACTTAATATTAATTTTTGAAAGCATATATTATAACAAAAACTTATTATTTTAGTATAAATTTTAGATAGTTTTAAGTGACATGTTCTATCTTTTAACAATTTGTCGCATAATTATTATTTCACTTTTTATACAAATTTCTTCAGGAAAAAAAATTGTTTGAGAAATGTACCCATGTATCAGTGTCCAAAATTTGTACTATTTTTAGCCATGTCTCCGTATCAAATAAAGGATCCGACATTTAGATACGTACCCGTACCCGTACTCAAGTCCTAGCATCATAGCACAAAACTATTAAAGGTTGAACTGAACATGATAAACTCAAGGGTCGGTGAGGGGGGGGGTTCTTTGGGGCACTATATCATTTTAAAATGGTTAAAATTTCTTTAGCTGGTTCACACTTCTAGGATTATTGTTGAAGAATGAGGTTAAGAGTTTCATATACTTATAATACACCGTCCTTCCTTGTCGTGCATGTGGCTCATATAGAGTGAAACACAAGTTCTGGATCAAATGGGCCGATGCTAGCCTGGAGCGACGATATCGGCCTTGCGCGGGTTTAATTTACTATTTGGTTGTTAGGGATGCTGAACGGGTTGGGATTGCAGGGGCAACGCCCCCACGGTACAGTACAGGGGTATTTCCTGTACCGACCTTAAAGTCTCATATGAGTCCAGACTAGTGTTAGTATAAATAATTTTTTGTAACCCTATTCTTCACTACTTAATAATGATATCTCCGTTTCGCTCTCGTGGACGTAGGCACACCGCCGAATCACGTAAATTCTCATGTTGATTTTTTTTTTTTTCATCGCTTTAATATTGCATATAAAATCCAACATTCCCAATGTTGTTGCTACATTTTCCTTTATTCTATGTACCAAGATAATTTCTTTTTGATTCACAAATTAATTCTATAATTTTTCATATTATCACCTTCAATTGTCTTATCTTTATCTAGCAATGAACCAAAGAATCAAGAAAAAGGATTTATGCAGCCATCTCAAATTTATTGTGAACACGACTTAGTTTTTTGTAATCCTTAGATTAGTTTCAACAAAATTTTCTCCTATTCGTATGCGCTATTTGTCTTTACATTAAAGAGTACTGTAGTATGTGTCTTACAGAAAGTGGGGTACGCAAAAAATGCCTGTGTCACAAAGTTGGGCTCCCTAGTTACAAGCTCATTTACTGGATGATGGGAGTTGTAGGAAAATACTCGTAGATAAGTATTTCTGAGGAAGTTTTGTATCCTGGTTTCCATTATATTTTAACTAATTCACATTGTATTTTATGGATGTTGATGGCTAGAAATCATTTCACGTTCAAAAGGCAGCCTTGAGATCAATGCCAGATATAGTTGTAGAAACTCGAGGACGTATGATAAATCATCTACGCAATTCTTTATCAGCACATCAGGATGAACTTGCTGTTCTGATACTTGATGAAGCTGATCGGCTTTTAGCACTGAAATTCATGAATTGGTATATGTTTGAACATCTTTTCTTTTTCTATTAAGAGGAGTTAGTACTGTCGTTTCTCATTGTAGATAGAGGAACAAATGCAACAAGTCTTTATTTTGGCTTAAAATTTTCAACTATAACGTAGAGGAAAGGAAATTCAGTTTCTTAGATTTTTGTTTGGACCTTTCAGCATTTTCATTATTTAAGATATTAAGAGGCAAAAGAGCGAATTAAACACTTCCAAAGAGAAGAAAATGGAAATTTCATTATACTATTTGGAAAGAAAAAGGAGATTGTACCATGACACACTTTTTTCTCATCACTGTTTTATGCATAATTTCTACCACATTTGGAAAATGAACTTCCTAGAGTTGATATCTAAATATGTTTTTTCCATTATGTAAATTCGTTCATTGAGTTCCATCGAAAAATTAAAGAGTGATGTTGATAAGTGACAGAAAAGCAAATTTAACAATGAACTTCCAGTCACTTAAACTTTTGGACTCCAGCTTTTCTCTATACTCATTTTGTGCTGGGGTTCACTAATTCTGTTAGACTTAATCGGATTCAATCTCTTTGGCGTGCCAGATATTAACTTACAGAATTGCTTATGCACATGAAAGGAATTTTTCCTGCTTATACAGCTAAATATTAAGCAATGGCAGTTGATGCTACCATATTCCCTGCTACTATTTCATTTGTATAATGTGAATTGGTTGAAATTTTGAGAAGCAGCTGTCTATGAGTTAGTAAAGAAGCTGAAGCCAGGTTTCTCTATGCTACAGATGGCTTAATGTCATAGCTTTTATCGTTACAACTGAGGTATCAAGGAGAAAGGAAGAAAATTCCTAATTATATGGGGTTCATTGTCTCTTTGGGTTAGTCTAGGATCTTAAGAGTAAAAAACTCAGTGTACCCTACAAAATGCAGTAAAGGGCATTTGACTGAAATCTGTATAGAAGGATAAGAAATATTTGTATCTGTTGAAGACTATAAAAGTGCAAGAAAAAATAAAATTGTTTTTATGTCCTGAGAATTAGAAAGTTCAATTAGCAAAGGTCAGCAAACTGTCCTGGCTGTAGCTGCTTTTGGCATTTGAAATTTCTTGAATGTCAAGGAGGTCTCTTAAGTCATACCCTTTCTTGTTTCTCTTGTCTACAAACTTTAATATTTTTAGCATTTTTAAACTTTGTCAATTCCTTTGATGATTCAAACTCATTCTTTAAACTAGTTGATTGTTCTCTTTTGTTTTGGTTAAGTTGTGTCCAAAACGAAGGCAGACTATGCTGTTTTCTGCAACTATGACTAATGAAGTTGCTGAGTCGTCAAGCTATCTTTGAACAAACCCTTGCGTCTCTCGGCCGATCCATCTGCAAAGCGACCAGCAACTTTGACTGGAGTAAGTCATCTGTAGATCCCTTTGCTGTTGGACCAGGGTACATATATTATGTTACATGATCTTTTGTAGATCCCCAAAAATTGTGCTCATATTAGCATGTACATTATGTATGCAGGTTTGTTCGATTAAGACGGATGCATGAAGGAAATATTCTTCTTGCATTATGCCCCAAAACCTTTGCATCCAAAGTGATTATTTTCAGCTTATACCAAGCTCTTAAACATATATATAATTTTCATCATGGCTATTATTATGTCTAGTTAGGGCTCTTACTTATCAAAAGGTCACTGATGAAAAGTAGTCTGATTTGGATGCATAGTTACATTACATTTTCATTCTTGAGTTAGTTCGAATGTTGACATCTGCAAAAATTACAGAATTATGATGTGGGAGTTTTAAGTGCTGTGGAAGCCTTGTGCTTAACGGGGCAAGTCTTGTGTAAATCCAGTTGTCTGATCCTGCATTGTGGCTCCTAGGCAAGGGTGGCCCGACCTTTGTTTAGCTTGGGCCTGCCCAAATGGGTCTCTTTATTTTTTTTGTCCCTTCAAAAAAGTGAACCGATCAAAATTTAGAAACTGTTTAACGAGCCTCTTGGATGTACTGCACCTTGCATTTTTTGCACAGCCTGTCCCAGGAGAAAAGTTCCTGCCGTGCCTGGTCCATAGGCGGTCCTGTTGAGTTTGTTTTATACTTCCATGAATGTCACAGGACTTGCAATTTCTCAACAGCCTGGCCCTGGAGAAAAGTTCAGGCACCTGAAGAAGCTCCCATTTACATAAGCGATGTAGTAGAACTAGAAGATGGAGAGAGAGAGAGAGAGAGAGAGAGAGAGAGAGAGAGAGAGAGAGAGAGAAAAAAATATAAAGAGTGTGTTTATTTTACAGACTCAAAGAAACGCAAAGAGAGAGAGAGAGAGAGAGAGAGAGACCAAAATTAATATGGCGTGTTTGGTTACAAAGTGTTTGATTTCCTTGGTACATGTAGCAATGGATTCTAAGAACTGGAGAAAAAAGCCTTCATGCAGCAGACTTAAAATTTATGGAGAATAAAATTTAGTAACATGCACTTGTAAGGTAATGAAAAAATAATTATAAGTCTTTCTTATTTCTTGCATATGTACAATATCTTCACTGATCTTAACTTTCTTTGAGTTTCTTCCTTTTTAAATAAATTGGTCTAAACTGATCGAGTCAATGCTATTTTATGTTTCTATTGGAAGTGGAACGAAACAGGCAGCACATAGGTTGAAAATTATATTTGTTTTAGCTTTTAAAAGCGGCGGAACTTCATGGAAATCTAACCCAGGCCCAGCGTCTAGATGTAAGTCCTCAGCATCAACGATTTCAACTACAGAATTCTGTTCTTTTAGCCAAGCATGCTTTCTTATTCACTTTCTGTTGCATAGGCCTTGAAACTTTTCAGGAAGCAGGAAATAGATATTCTTGACTGCGACAGATGCTGCTGCTTGTGTAAAAAGAAATAATCTCAGTTTGTTTTGCTTAGTTAATGATGATAGAGTTTTTATGTTTCATTTGATCTTTCCAGCTGAATAATTCAACTCCTATTTCCACTTCCATATCTCCAGGAATCATGCGACATTGATATAGTTGTTGAATTCTGTACATTAGTTTGACTTGCTGGATGATTAATAACTCTATCAACATTATCTATGTTTGCATATAATGATGCATGTGTATTTGAATCAGCTTTTGCAATTGGTTTAATAGGAATCTCAGGAAAGACAAAATGGTTCTGGAAGTGAGGTGATTAGTGCCGAACAAGCAGAGGAAAAGAGAAAGCAACAGAGAGAGGTGATTCTCATCCTGAATTTATACTAGTGTACAAATTGATTGCCAAATATATCAATATGAAGATGATTGTTTTGGACAGAAAAATTTGCCTAGGAAGTGAAGGAGGAAATTGGAAGCTGCTAGAGAGATGCTAGAAGAGGAAAATGATGCATGTGTATTTCCGTTTTCTTTTTTTCTTTTTTTTTTTTTTATTCTTTTTGTACCATGTTGAATTAGTTTACATTTTCTTATATTGAAATTCATATCGTATACATCAATGGTGCAAAGGGATTTCAACGTAGCTTGTGATGCAAATATTGGCTAAATTATTTCATACATATACAATAACGATGGGGTATTTTGCACAACTATGTGTACGAATTGAATTAGAATGCCAATTAGGTTATGCTGACTGTATTGTCATGTGGAGTCATGATATTCCATGTTCTGTAATCCTGCTGTAACATTTACACTTAATGCCGTGCTCATTTTTGATGTGCGAAATTATAGCTTTCCCGAAGGTTACATTTGAGTCACGAGAATTAACATTTGAAATGATTAGGGAGAAGAGAAAAATAAGAAAGAAAGAAACGGTATTTCTCTTATTGATGTGGCTTACTGTCGGACTAAAGCAGTGAAGGCTGTAGATATGAGTGCTAAAAAGCAGAAAATCTCCAGCGTGGAGGTGGGAAGAAGCCCTCATTCAAGAGCAAGTCATGGTATAAAATCTCATCATGATCTTTTATCTGCTTCAGTTTTATTTTTTATGTTCTGCATATTATTTGTTTAGCGTGGAGCAAAACCTTAATTCAATTCAACGAAGCCATATATCTTATCCTAATGATGGGCAGTTACATGGATCTTTCTCCCCTCTGCTGTATCAATGGCCATATCCAAACTTAAATCTCAAACGCTAAATATCTTTTTTATTTGTAACATGGACGTACTTTTCTCTGACAATAAGTAAAGACGGAAATCTAATAGAATGTAACTTGGAAAAAAAATAAAGACCTCGAACGTGTTGACAAGAAAGATTACTTCAAATTAACTTTTAAGCTTCCAAAAACATGCTTTTTGACATCTAGAAGTAAATTTTAAGCTTCTCTTGTACAAGCGCACGTAGCTTCATGCTGTAGCAACTATTGCATAGGTTTGTTGAATTGCTTGGAGGAATTTTGGGAGTACATCCAGAGACTGGATGCTTCATGGCATGAGTTTCGTTTAATATTACTAGTTGGGGGTATGTTTATACACCGTACAATGACTGATGATTCAATTTTCAAAACTTCACAGTTAGGTGGGTCTCATGGTAGTCTATTGAGATTTTTTTTTTTTTAATAACTATAGGTGTCCAGACCAGCTCACGCGCACCTCGACTAATCCCACGGGACCCCTAAAGCTTACAGTCGAGTACTCACCTCAATTATCCTGAGGGGACTCGAACTGATGACCATTGGGGAGCAAACTCAATACTTGATCACTGAGCTACCCCTCAAGGTTGGTAGTTTATTGAGATGTTATCGGAACTGTTAATCCATAAAATCCTTTGCCTCTATTTTTCTAGCGTTTTGCCATTTACATAATTCTATGAGCTTTCACTGGAATATTGTCATTGAATTTATGAAGATGAATCATGATCTCCACGTCTTGGGTTAACATATTTCTTTGGGTTCAAGTTCGTATATTGTCTATTATACTACACACACAATCTAAATGCTTGTTTCGTACTTGGACCAATAAACCACAAGCATTTCACGTTCTCTCTTTTTTTTTTTTTTTTTTTTTTTTTTTTTTTTTTTTTTTTTTTTTTTTAAAAATTTTCTGTTTTTTTTTTTTTTTTTTTTTTTTTTTTTTTTTTTTTGGTTAATTCTGATCAGTTCAACAAAGCGAACATGAAACTTCTTCGGAAAAGCATAATTGTCAAAGATCTAAAGTACTTTATGGATTCAAGCACACTTTTTACTCCAGTGCTAAACCAGTTTATTTTCTGTCAAAGCCTCAATCACCGCAGCCCAAATAGGCTTTTTTATGTAAAACATCTCCAATATCATCAATATATATATATTTGTCGAAGGATACAAACAAACAAGAAAAGCAGCACCCTACATGATTCCAAAACAGGTATCATTAAATCAACATGAACCAATCATGGGTAGAGTTTGTCTTGAATCTTATATAAAAATTAATGGCACATTTGGCAACGGGGATTATATTTACTGGACAACATTAAGAAAGAACAATTTGTTCATAATATTGTAAAGTCGAGTTGATCCACTATTGAGTACCAAACACACAATAGAAGTGCCAAATAGGCTTGTATGAATTATGATAAAAATTGATGTACAGTAGTGAATGGTGTCAACTTTTGTTCATTCCTGTCTAGTACCGTGCCTCAATGATGCCAAATATGCATATAATATATACAATATTCTTTCTCTAATTTCATTGATATATATATAGATTACTGCTGCAAGTAACAAGTATCCTATGTTGGGCGGAGAAATACTAAGAAATGATAAGGATACCAAGAACTAAAGACATTAAAATAAGATTCTTTTCTCCTTCGGTTAATTAGCCACAAGATTAAAAATAAATCCACGTTCACCATCATTATTTAGTTCCACCATGTTAGTTTGACTTTTTTTCTTGGTTCTCTATTATTGTAAATTATTAGCCTTTTCTGATAGATCTTATTCTAGTCACATGAAAGAAATCCGAGATAAACTCACCTATATCTGTGGCGGTGTATAATGTTTAAAAGGATAATGTTCCCAGCCACTATCTGGTTCTTTGCGCTTCTCACCAACTGAACTGATACAGAGTTGGGAACCTGACCTCGGCTGCTCGTCCATTGACCTGGCCTGACCCATATTCAAGAACTGCCCGAAGCCTGTAGTGTCCCTATTTCGCCCCTCCATCATCGACCTGGAGTTGAGATCCAAACAAGTCCTGGGAGGCACAACCCCGTTTGAAGCAGTTGACCCTGTCATGCTAATCATAAATGATGATTGAGATAAGGAAGGTGGTAGAGATGAAGCACCGCCCACAATCTGAGAGACTACTGGTGCTCCTCTGGATTCCATCATGTATGGAATGGGACCACCAGGTCCATACATCATGGAGGATAAAGTCATAGCAGGTGCAAGCCCATTGTAACTGGTAGAATGAGCATATGGAAGTGCAGATACCATCCCCAAATTAATGTCAAATGAAAGTTCTGGAGTCGCATGCAGAAACTGAGGAACGAAATCTTTATGCTTGATCTCCACTCTTGAACCCATAATAGATATTGCAGAGTCATCCAACTTTATACCTCCAGCAGCATTTAAGTTCTGAGATATCTTTCTTAAATGGATATTATCCGAAGAATTGAAAAAAGAAGGGTCGCCATTCAGATCAATATTCGTTAACACTGGCCATTTCGATGATGAAGCGGAAGAATGGGACTGGTATTGATGGTCATTTCTCACGGGAAAGAGCTGTCGCACAGTCAGCAAATCTGATTGAACATCACCAGCTTCACTTGAATGATTAAGATCCAACTCAAGATGCTCTAATCTTGAATTTGCTTCCACTGAAAATTTCCCAAATGGACCAGAAGATACTGGGACTAGTTTGTCTGGTAGAGGATCTTCAGTTCTGTCGTCACCGTTTCCAGCTAGATTCAGGTCAATATCAAGACATCCATGCCGCTGCTTTGAACTGCAACTGCTTCCCCCAGAGGAAAGATCCTGGCCACCTTCAGGTATTTGGCGAGGTGATGCTGTTCGGAAAGCACTTGTTGCAGAGGAACCTTTCCATCCAAGATTTCCCTCAAACTGAAATGGAGAAACAGGAAATCCAGGAGCAGAAGCAGCCCTTGAAGCAGAAACAATGGAGATGGGGATAGAAATAACATTCCCAGAACAATTTGTATCGTCTGAATAAGCTTCATTCAGATCAAAGTTACAAGGGCTTTTCTCAGTACTGGCAGCTTCTTGAACAGCCTCAGTGACTTGAAAGATTTGCATATCTTGTTCGCTATTCATCTGATCAGCATCTTGGTTCTTGGTGCTAGTTGCAGACTCTTTTGCAAGTGGTGAAATTCCTGCAGACAGATCACGATCGATTGCCACCTCCTTAGGCGAGCCCTCTCCATTGCATTGTTTTCCACTTAGAGAGGCTGATATATCCGGCTCCTGCGTTTTACCGTCTGAAACTTTTTCAGAATAACTGGAACTTCGTTCTGCAAAATCTTTAGCTTCTCTTTCCACATATATCTTACAAGCAACTTCTAGTGGATCTATAATTTGGCAGGATACATGCGTGTTAAATTCACCACCTTCTTTAGTTTTGGATGCACTAGAGCTTCTGCATTGATTAGAACATCTGACATCATCTATATCACCTTTTCCCTCAGTGTCAATCGTCCTCACATCAGCAGAAGCTGAGTCTTTCTGGCAGGAATCTTTGTCTGCATCATTGGAAATTTTTAGTAAATTAGGTTGTGTCACAGAATTCAATGCATCTGCAGCATCAGAATTTGAAGGATAAGGTCGGTCTCCTATTAGGTCAAGGTTTTCGATAGAGACTGATTTCTCGGGAGAAAATCCAATATGTGGGGTCTGCTTTACATCACTAGTCAACTGTAACTTGTGAAGATCAGTCTGCCTGTCAAAAGCACCCTGTGTTGGAACAGCTGGAGTACATGATTCAACTGAACTAGTACCTGTTGAACCACAAACAGGAGGCTCCACTTTATGGCACAGATTTTTGTTTTCAGGCTTTGAGAAGGACGGCGAAAAAATGTGTTTTAAAGGTCTATCATCCATAACAGCAGCGTCCAAATTTATCTCAGAAGTATGTGCATTTTCAAGCTTGTCAGATTGAAATGCATCAAAACCAGAGGATGAGCACTCTACAGTTGATTTTAGGCATTTTTCTTCATCAGAACTCTCTCGGGGAAGAACATATCCAGAAGAATATTCTGGCGACCAAATATTTCTCTTAACACGTGCATTTATTCCCACACCATCATCATTTAATGTTCCAACTCTATCAACATCCAGGGAAGATGTATCACCGTCTCGATCTTTTCCCCACCTATCTAACAGAGCTTGAGCTGTATTTTGTAACTTGGAACTATTGTGGCCAAGGAGATCCTTAACAATACTCCAAATCTCAGAAGAAACTGATTTCTGACCTTCCGTATGCAGCTTTTCAAGTGCTAGCAGTAAATGAGTAATTTCTTCCACGAAGCCAACACTCGTGCCATCACTCAAGTTTCGAACATCCTTCAGCCACTTACTAATAAAATGGAGTCCGTCTAACTGAATAAAAAGATCGAGACACTCCTTGTTCTCAGTGGCAGCTATAGTTCTTGCAACTGCAGACCACTGCCTTGTTGCATCACTAACGCTCTTCGTAATAGAATACCCCTCTTTCTTGATGACAGCCACAAGTTCCCTGACTCGAACAGGGGCTGTAAGCCCACTATTTTTCTCTGACAAGCTGAAGAAGTCGTCAAGCGTCATAATTTTGCACTTACGCCTGCAAACATTTAAAAACACTCTTTATAAAGTCTATTACATTTTCAGGCATCTTTGGTGCTGCTCCTGCATAAAATCATATTAAAAAGGTTAAAACACAGCTATACAAAATCTTAATCAATAATCCATTGAAATGCAGGGATCCAATCTAATAACAGATGCAAAATTATGTAGAACAGAAAAGCATGACATCAATGCCCGATGTCATTATTCCCAGCGTGTAGGAAGATACCATATTGACACAATGAAAAATACAATAAGGTTGGAAGATAACAACTCTCCTTAACAAGAAAATTACGGAAGCAGAACAGGAATTTTGTACCATGGGTCGGAAGGAATTAGAAACAAAGGGCAATATCATCTTGTTTTATAAAAATTGCACTGCTTATGAAATGGCTATGGTGATGAGGCTTTTTTATAAGTTTCCTCAACTCGTAAAAAAGTCAAATGCCTGTTAGTCATATTATTCCAAGGTACCAGAAATGCAAGAAATTCTCGTACAAGTGACTCCCTAAGATGCAGCAGCGGTAATCATCTCATACAATCGACTTCCTAAGATACAATGCCTTTCGGTCTCCTTCTTCCTCCAAATTCAAGATCATAGAATTAAGATGTGGAGTATAAAATACAATGATCTAGTGTCATATCTACCTGTGCAGTGGTACAAGAGAGCTAACTACAAGTAATATATAAGCATGTGCATCACAAAATATCAAAGGGCTTTTCCCCCTGGTTTTAACATGATAATAGGTAGCTATCAGAAATTCAGACATAATAATTAATACATATTTCACGTGATGAAACATACATCAAACACACCCAAAACAAGAACTGTGATTGAATAACACTGTGTCAAATAAAACCCATCAATTCACAGAGAAACCCGCTCGAAAAATCAAAACACGACAAATAAATCTAGGGTCCCTACAGAAACAAAATTATTAACAAAATAAACATTTTCACCAGAGAAAAATACGAAAACCCACAAAAGTCCTGACCTTTAAAAGAAACAAAAAGGCCACATCATGAACTGAAACTCTAAACAACTATATTCTTCATTGTCATTGAGGCAGCGTATTACTGCGTAAAGGCAAGTCTATATGTATCGTACAGGAACTGTAGAGATTTCGCTAAAGATTTGGTCATTGATGCAAACAACGCCGTAAAAACCTACAACAGTATAAGAGAAATTCAAACAATATTACATAATTGTGGCAATCAATAGAATTTTTTTATTTTTTTTTTTTACCTCTTTCGACAATTGGAAAAAAATCCTCGAAATTCAATCTCCAGTTCTTTATCTAAGCCAAATCAAAACCTCCAGTTTTTACTATCTTTAAACCATAGTTTCTTCTGCAGCAGAAAAGTTACAGCTGTTAAAAAAAAAAAAATATCACTTTTCTCGCTTCAACAAATAATCGTTGCTCCATTGTTCAACAAGTCTGAAATTCTCTGCCGTTGAAAATTCCTTTTTTTCACTTTTCTGAATTTTTATTATTTTTTATTACTCACAGAAGGTTTGCTTGACGGCCTGTTTTAAGTGGCTATTCAGCACGTGCCACATATGCGGAAAAGTAAAAGAAACCCAGATTATATTATATGCAAGGAAAATTCGAACAGAATCGGATTCAAATATGCTCGGACCCACGACCCGACCCTAATCCCCAACTTCCAAATCTTTCGGAAAGGGAAAATAGAGCACTGGGTCCTCAATTTTTAAGTATTATATTAATTAAATCTCCAACGTTTTTGGGAGTTAAGTCCCAGTACTTTTTAATTTATAGTATTTTGGTCTTTAATAATAAACATTTTTGGTCCATTTTGAAGTTAAAAAGCCAATGTATTACCATTATTGTTGCGTGTTGTCATACTTGACCAACCTATTTGAACCAATGGCCCACTCATGGCGAACCACGTGGCCCTCCAGCCGAGGTGGCATAGATCGCCGAGGTGGACTATCGTCGAAACCCTTCAAGCCGAGGTCTACTAGCAAGGCCCTCTTTTACCGAGGCCTGTGAATGTACCTGAGGTCCACATGACGATGCCTATGACCCGAGGCCATGATGCTGAAACTGGTTGAAGGTAGCTGAAGCCCTCAAGTAGAAGTATCGTATGAAATGGCCGACGCCCTGGAGCCGATGCAGGAGCCTTCGAACAACAAGGGGGCATCCTCCATGGTCACTTCTCCCAAGAGATCGCCCACACAAAGATCTTATTCGAATGATTAATAGAACGTTTGTCATAAGCATAAAGGTCAAGTTTTGTCACTAGTATGGAGGCTCTACACAAGTAATAAATGCGCAACAAGCTAGCAAGTCAAGCCTCATACCTAGGATAAGATGTTTGAATCAAAGAGATGAGGTCACGTGCCACCTCATCCAAGGGCTCCCATTTCACATGTATCACTATAAATACTTCCCTTGTGTAACATCAAAAGGCTAATGCAAGAATCAATACAAAGAACTATACTTTACTCAACTCTCTCTCATTTACTTATAATATACAAATCGAGTTTATACACATTTACACATACATCGACGAACACCGGTTGGTAATTATTGTACAATCGGATCACGAACAACTCGCCGGATTCCAAACCTCACCGTCCCACGTCGTTGGGCTACTCCCACGCCCTTTGAACCGCTCGTTTTAGACCGTTCACGTGTCTTAGCGTGTTGGACATTCGCCCACGTGTGCGCGGGTGGGACCGGCATCTATTGGGAATGCTTTTTGGGGTCAACAGATTGGCGCCGTCTGTGGGAAACCATACCATAACCACGAGCAACCTTGTGGCAAAAGCTTACTGAAAGGACATTTGGGCAATCCCCCTTGAAAAATGATTTGTTCTTGGAAAAGAACAAGAGGAAGCCCCATTACTTAGCGAAATCTGAAATCTGACAAGAGAAAATGAGCTCCAATGAAGATACTCCCCCTAGGAGGGTAAAAGAAAACGCTAACGTGCCTCCTCAGCCCACTGCCCCAGTAGCTCGACAGAGACTCCACCACCACCAAAGAAAATGTGGGATGTGTGCGACGGCACGATTATCAAGAGAGATGGCCGCCATGGCAGCCAACATGAGGGATATTGCTAGCTAAAATTTGGCGATGAGGGAGCTTATGGCCCAAATGCAGGGCTAGGGAGGCTTTCCCATTCCTCCATATGCCCCCCAAGGGCACTACCAGCAAGAGGATGAAGTCCAAAGTCATAGAGCTGCTACGCCAGACTATGGCCGAGGTGGAAGCCAATTTGAAAGGGAAGTGGAAGTTGATGTTTCCTCCAACTACGCTTCTGGCCGACCCACCGAGGTCCAAATGAGCCATGATAATTTCCCACCTCCGTATGAGCAAGATCCAAGACATAGGAGGGCAGGAAGTGTTTTTGACAGAATCAGCCCCGCCGAACCCAGGCTAAGGCAACAGCGGGCTCAACAGCCTTGGACAAGGCCGCCTCCTCCACCTATAATGCCCCAGCAGGCGGAAAGAAGGCAAGAAAATGCCCTCCGTGTTGCTCCGCCTAGAAATAGGCCATAGAGGAGGGAGGAAGAGGCTAGGGATCTCCCCGGGACCTCTCACCAACAACCGGGGCATGAGGCTGATGAGTACGACTCTGATGAACAGCAGAGGTCCTGCGACTTGGACGATGACGATGAGAACCTACCATTCTCAAGGGAACTAAGGAATGCCCAGGTCCCGAGCCACTATGTGATGCCAAAAATACCAAAGTATGACGGAGGAGACGACTCGGAGAAGCATTTGAATGCTTATAAAACTCACATGAGCCTAAGGGGTGCCACCCCAGCCGTGAAGTGCAAAGCCTTCCATTTAACGATTAGTGGAGCAGCTAAAATCTAGTATAGTAGATTGCCACCTAGAAGTATTAGAAGCTGGCCTGAGTTCAAGACAACATTCTTGAAGAGGTTCGCAGTGAGTAAAGAAGGAGAAGGCCCCATCCAACGTTCCCAGGTTTCACGGGGTGCCTTTCTTCTTGGCACAGAAAGGGACACCGTGCGGTAGTAGTCTACTCCGCTAGACTACCTTCCGCCTTTTCTCGGTCGCGTCGGGACGAAAGAAAATTTGATTGCAATTTTGTAGAAAGCTTACAATTGAGAATTTGAATACATTGAAAGTAAATTGAACATTGATTGCTGAAAACTGAACATTACAATTGATGAAAGCAGAAAATTACAAATGCTGGTGCAGGGGGCGGACACCAGTGAGCTTGAAAGATTTTTGAATGACTAATACCCCCTATAATAGCATTCTGAACAAAAACCCAAGTGACGGGAGTAGACGTTTAAAAGACGAGGAATCATACTAATCTTTTACCAATATCAGAGCTATTTTACAATTAAAATAACTATTACAATGAAACGAAAATTACAACTCAAACTTGAAGTAATATTTACAATGTGCGGCCGAAGTTGGGCAAACTGCGGCTGCGATAGTGTCAAGGGGCTAAGTAAAGCTGCGGTCCTTGACATTCTCCCCCATTTGTTTTGGCGACGTCCTCGGTGCCATCAATGCATGATACTCTTCAATTAATGATTTGAAGGCCCCGAGATCTTTTTCTCTTTCCCAAGTATTCTCCTCGCTGCTGCATCCCATCCATTTGACCAAGTACTCCTGATGATCTTTTCTAGAAGCCCGAGTGATTCGATGGTCAAGAATAGCTTCAGCAACCTTCTTTCCAGCTTTCTTCAGTTCAAATACAAGTCGCTTTGGCTCATTTCTAGATGCGTCCTCCTTATCCGAAAAGTATGGCTTCAACACACTAACATGAAGGACCTTGTGGATTTTACACCATGAAGGGAGTTCAACTCTGTATGCAACTCTTCCAATCCTCTTCACAATGGGTAATGGTCCAATGTATTTTGGTGACAACCTTGAGTCCTTCCCTCTTGTTGGCTTGTAAACAATTCTGTCGAAAAGCTTAACCATTACCAGATCTCCAACATTGAATTCAATAAAACGACGCTTTAGATCTGCAGCCTTTTTATACCGTTTTTGAGCTTTTTCAAGATAACTCCGAGCAATTTCAAGATTTCGTTTCCACTCTTGAGAAAAGCTCTTTGCTTGAGGGGACTTGGTACTTCGTTCAATATCCACTGTATGAGGGAGTAGCGGTTGCTGGCCAGTAACAATCTCAAAAGGACTCTTATTGGTGGAAGAGCTCTTTTGGGCATTGAAGCAAATTTGGGCCGCATCCAAAAGTTTTACCCAGTTTTTCTGCGAAGTAGAGATAAAGTGCCGAAGATATTCTTCTAGCATAGAATTGAAGCGCTTCCGTCTGTCCGTCAGATTGTGGGTGAAAACTGGAACTCATGCTCAAAGTTGAACCAAGAAGTTTGAACAACTCAGTCCAAAATATGCCAGTGAAACGAGGATCTCGATCACTGACGATGTCCTTAGGCAGCCCCCAGTATTTGACAATATGTTTGAAGAAGAGTTGAGCTGTCTCTTCCGCAGATACATACTTAGGCGCTGCAATGAAAGTTGCATATTTTGATAGACGGTCCACCACGACAATGATAGTGCCAAAATCCTCAACTTTTGGCAACCCAATAATGTAGTCCATCGATACACTTTCAAATGGCCGGGATGGAACGGAAAGGGGCTCCAGCAAGCCCGCCTTTTTCTGATGATCTGCCTTATCTTGCTGACAAATAAGACAAGTTTTTACATATGTTGCAATGTCATCCCGCATTTGAGGCCAGTAGTATGCACGTTGTAGTAGTGCACAAGTGCGTTCCTCTCCGGGATGCCCCGCCCAAATTGTGTCATGGCATTCCGTGATTAGTGATTTCCTCAGATCTCCACCCTTAGGAACATATAGACGGTCTCCCTTTGTCTTCACTAGTTCTCCATCTAGCCAGAACTGTCGAGTTTTACCATGCTTGATGAGGTCGACCAAATATTGGGTAGCCGGGTCCTTCTCCATAAGTGCCCGAATTTGGTCTCTAGTGTTCGTGGAGACTGCGCTCCCTGAAAGAGCAGCTACAGAGCAGATGGTAGCTAAATCGGCCCGTCGACTAAGAGCATCGGCAACATGATTACTAGAGCCGGGACGATACTCTAACATAAAATTGAACTCCGAAAGGAATTCCTGCCAACGAGCCTGTTTGCTCGACAGTTTTGGTTGGGACATAAAGTGACTAACTGCAGTGTTATCTGTCTTCACAATAAATGGAGACCCAAGCAGATAGTGACGCCATCCTCTGAGACAATGGACAACTGCTAACAATTCCTTTTCATGTGCCGAGTAACGACGTTCTGTCTGGTTTAACTTTCGGCTCTCATATGCTACCGGATGTCCTTCTTGCATGAGGACTCCACCAAGGGCAAAATCTGAAGCATCTGTATGAACTTCGAATGGTTTAGCCATATCCGGTAAGGCTAAAACCGGGTTCGTCCACATGGACTTCTTCAACCTTTCAAAAGCAGCTTGGCATTGGGATGACCAATCCCAATCCTTATCCTTCTTTGTCAATTCAGTAAGGGGCAGTGCAATTTCTGAGTAGCCTTTCACAAATCTTCGATAGTAATTGCATAACCCAAGAAATGA